ATTTCTCTTTGCAGGTCTGTTTTCTCACATGTATTTTGATGCTCTGTTGCTAGGTGCATAAATGTTAAAGATTATTTTGTCTTCTTGGACAGTCAACTCCTTTATCTTTATGTAATGCCCCTCTCTGTCTCTGATAATTTTCCTTCCTCTGAGGTCTGTTTTGTCTGAAATTAACATAGCTACTCCATCTTTTCAAAAAATTAATGTTACCATGGTATATTCTTCTCCATCCCTTTACTTTTAATCTGAGTCTTTATATTTAACATGAGTTTCTTGTGGACAACATATAACTGAGTCTTGTTTTTTAATCCACTTTGACAATGTTTGTCTTTTAATTCATGCATTTAGACCATTCCCATTTAAAGTAACGATTGATATACTTGGATTAATATCTACCATGTTTGTAACTATTTTCTGTTTGTTGCTTTTGTTCTTTCTTTTTCCATCTTTTTCTGCCTTCTTTGGTTTTAATTGGGTATTTTATATGATTCCATTTTGCCTCCTTTCTTAACATATCAATTATACTTCTATTGTTTTGTGGTTGCTCTAGAGTTCGCAATATATATTTTTAACTGATCTAAGTTGATCTTCAGATAACACTATACTACCTCACATATAGTGCAGATACTTTATAACAGAGTATTCCCAATTCCTCCCTCTCATCCCTTATGACATTTCTGTCATTCATTTCACTTATCCATATAATCGCCCAAAACATCATTATTATTACTACTTATAAGACTTTCTTTTAGCTTAATTAAGAATAAGAAAAATAAAATATTTTATTTCATTTATTTCTTCTCCAAGACTCTTCCTTTCTTCATGTGAATCTGACCTATATCATTTTCCTTCTCCTTGAAGAACTTCTTTAAACATTTCTTGTAGTGCTTGTCCGCCGGCATTGAATCCCCTCAATTTTTATTTGTCTGAGAAAGTCTTTATTTCTCCTTTATTTTTAAAGGATAACTTTGTAGGATAAAGAATTCTAGGTTAGTGAAGGGTTTTCTCTAAATACTTCAAATATTTCACTCCGTTCTCTTCTTGCTTGCATGTTTTCTTTTTCCACTGTAATTCTTATCTTTGTTCCTCCATAGGTTAGGAATTTTTTTTTTTTTATCATGTTTCTTTCAAGATTTTCTCTTTGTCTTTGGTTTTCTGTAGTTTGAATATAATATCTTTATGTGTAGATGTTCTGGTATTTATCTAGCTGAGGTTCTCTAAGCTTCCTAGATCTGTGGTTTTGTGTCTGTCATTAATTTTGGGAAATTCTCAGCTATAACTAATTCAAATATTTCTCCTGCCTCATTCTCTTTCTTCTCCTTCTGGTATTTTAATTATGGGACTATGGGTAACTTCTACCTTTTGAAATTGTTCCACACTTGTTGGATGTTCTGTTCCATTGTGTTCATACTTTTTTCTCTCTGCATTTCATTTTGGAAAGTTTCTCTTGAATCTTCAAGCTCACTGATTCTTTTCTCTGCCAAATGCAATCCATCAATAAGGCCACCATTCTGCATTTCTGTCACAGTATTTTTAATTTCTAGCATTTACTTTTGATTTTTTCTTAGAGTTTTCATCTTTTTGCTTACATTTTCCACCTGTCATTGCATGCTGTCTACTTTTTCCACTAGAGTCCTTGATATATTAATCATGGTTATCTTAGATTTCCTGTCTGATAATTCCCAAATTTGTGTCATATCTGAGTCTGGTTCTGATGCTTGCTTTGTCTTTCAGGCTTTATGTTTTTCTTCTCTTTTCTTTTCTTTTGTTCCTTGCAGCGTGTCTGGAAATTTTTTTGCTGAAAGCTAGACATGATGTATCAGGTAATAGGAGCTGAGGTTATAGGGCTTTAGAGGGAGTTTTTATGTCAATCTGACAAGACATTGGGCTGTGTTTAAAATTTACTGTAACTGTAGGTGTCAAAATCTTCAGATTTCTCTAGTATCCTTGTTTTTGTCTCCCCTGTTGACTTTGGGCTTTCTTAAGAACTCCTCAGATAGAGTCTGCAGCTTGCAGCTCTTTATTTTCTAAGAAAGAAATCAAAAGGAACCCCTAGGGATACAAAAACATTATGACAGCAATCCGCTGTTACATCGGAGCACTGTTGGTATGGCGGGAAGGCGTGGGGGAAGAGAAGCATTCTGTAATCTTATGATTAAATCCCAGTATTTCTGCGGGCCTGTGTCCCTGGGCTATGACTTTCACAAGGGTTTCTTACCTTGCCCTCCTTAAGTAAGAAGGCTAGAGGGGGTTGGAGTGGGAGAAATGCCCTTCCTCAGTTGAGACAAGGCTCTGGTAAAGTCTTTTCCACCGAAGAGTTCTCCTTTGTCATGGAGATCACTCTGGGCATGTTTCATAAGGGCTACTCTTACTCTGTCTCTACCAGAGCCAGGAGGGGATCTTTCTTTTTTGTGTGTGTGTGTGAGGAAGATCAGCCCTGAGCTAACATCCATGCTAATCCTCCTCGTTTTGCTGAGGAAGACCGGCTCTGAGCTAACATCTATTGCCAATCCTCCTCCTTTTTTTTTCCCCCCCAAAGCTCCAGTAGATAGTTGTGTGTCATAGTTGTACATCCTTCTAGTTGCTGTATGTGGGATGGGGCCTCAGCATGGCCGGAGAAGCGGTGCGTCGGTGCGCACCCGGGATCGGAACCCAGGTCGCTAGTAGTGGAGCGCGCGCACTTAACTGCTAAGCCACGGGGCCAGCCCGATCTTTCTTGACTCTTCATCAGGAGAATCTGATGGGATTCCTGGAGATAAAACCGATGACAGAGTGGAAGTCCCCCTTAGACTGGGTCCCAAGAGTTTTTAACTCTTAAGCTAGTCCACAGCAGCCTTAAATTACTAGTTAAGTGTTTCTACCAGTTTATAGCTCCACCGTCTTCTGTTGCAGTTGAGTGGATATTGGCTATGACTCTTCGAATTCACTTGTCTCTCCAGATTTCAGGCAGTACTTCATCCTGTAACTTCAACTGTCTGACGGGTCCAAGAAAAGTCATATATTTTCCGTTTGTTCAGCTTTTTCTTACTGTGAGGACAGGAGTAACGAATTTCAAGGGCTTTACACATCAGAGCTGGAACCAGAAGTCCTCTAGATATTTAATTTTAATTCTTATATTCTTCTAAACTCAAGAAGATGCTGTGAATGTGGCATAATATTGCCACAGTAATGATTTATCCCAAGTGTGGGTCGAAATATTTTCAACTTGCCCTAGTACTGTATCCAAAAATAAGCATAAATACATCATATCAAAAAGCACAGTTTTAAGCCAAGAATTTCATGCTGCCAGTGATTTGTTGACGCGGTTGTCACATCTAGACTGCCATCGCCACTCCAAAGGCTGTAGCTTTTCCTCTCTTCTCTCTGCTTTCTTCCACACCCAATGTTGAGTATCATTTACTGAGAAAGTTTTTATATATATTCTGACAGCTCTTAGAGGCATGAAATACCTTTATGTGTTTTGTTAAGCTTTTTCCTACTGTGATATAAAAATCTTATTGTTACATCTCTTCTTTCATTTTCTGTGGACTTGGAAACTTAAAAGTCCCTGTCTCCTCATAAAACAGACCTTGGAATTTTAGAGTTGAAAGAATCAGAATTGATACTAAGGTGCAAAATTTACAGAGGCACCAAAAAAAAAACACAAAAATTGAGGTAAATAATATTTCAATGCAATATTTTTTAAATGAATGCAAAAAATCCATGATAAACAAAATATAAATGTTTTAAATGACATCAGGATCGGTATATTATCTTGTGTAAAGATTATAAATACTTCACACGTGGGCCCAGCATGGAAGCAACTCTTTAATTGCTCATAGCACATAGTCTTTAATAAGTCTTTACTCAAGTTCAGGGGTTACAGAAAGTAATTTCAATACAATAGACAAGAAGTTTTATTTTCGCTATCAATGGATACTGCTGCTGTCAGAGCTCTTCAGACAAGAGTCCTCCTTACTGGGTGCCTTGGCCCAACCTGCCTGAAAATAGAGGCTATCTTACCATCCGCTGACCATATCCGTGAGCTTGTCTCCCGACGTCAGTGTTGCATCCTACCAGCAAAAGATCTACACAACAGAACCAGGTTCCATCCACTTCCTCCCTAAACCTTCCTCTAGATGGCTTAGATTCCAAGTCAATCTAAGGGCTGGATTATCAATCCTAATTTCCTCCTTTAGTGTGCACTTCCTCTTGGGATGATTGATGTTAAGAACATCCCCTTTGTTCAACAAAAACCTTGCCTACGGGGCTTTGGATTTGAGGTAGGGTCTCAGTAGGAAATTATATTAGAACGCTTGAGCACAACATTAGAACATTTCTCCAAATACGGATGATTTTGTTTTAATAGCCTCACAAGCAGCAGATCAACAGCAGAGGCTGAATTCCATCTGGGCAGTTCAGTTCCCTCTTCATGTGAGATGAAGATCAGGCTTCATATGGTTTCCACCAACATCCAGATCTCAGCTCCTGATCATATGAACAACTTCCCAAACAACAGAAGCGACAACAAGAACAACAAGACACACACACACACACACACACACACACACACTCTCTCTCTCCAGAAAAAAGAGTAGCAGATCACGGGCATAGGGCAGTTTAAATTCAAACAGAGAAATATGATACACTCTCTACAAATGCTACCCTGCCTAAACTCCTCCCTCTCTCTGTCTCTCTCTCCTGAGTATTATTACACAGACTCCTCTACCTCTTTAGGCGCTCCTCTTCTGGTGTAAGGTATCTGCTTCATGTATGCATAGCCAAATAATCCCTTCTGACTGTTTCCCCAGAACAGAGGCCTCAAGATATATTCAGGTCTTCACTTCCTGCAAGGTTTCCACCCAGTGTGATTAAGGTGTTGAAAATATCGGAACCAAATTTTAGTTAGGGCACCACGTTACAATAACTTTGTCCTCTATTTTGACAGATCAACACCAGTCATTAATAAAGATTTCAAGATTTCACTGGTCCTAAAAATAAGGACAAATCTATGAGACGTTTATAAAGTTAAATGTATTTAAAGAATACTGCTTTGTTCTTTGATTATGTCCTTATTTCTTCTTTTTTTCTGTTAATAAAGTATTTCTTTTATTAAATTATGATAGTTTCATATGTTGGTTTTTTGTTTCGTTTTTTTTTTTTTGCTGAGGAAGATTCGCCAATCTTCCAATCTTCCTCTATTTTGCATGTGGGTCGCTGCCGTAGCATGACTGATGAGTGGTGTAGGTCCACGCCCAGGAGCCAAACCCAGGCTGCTAAAGCAGAGTGTGCCAAACTTAACCACTAGGCCATGAGGCCAGCCCAACGCTGGTTTTTAAAAAATTCCTGATTTGGCAAAGTAAGAAGTTTGAAGCCATGTGTCATCCACCTAGGGTTGTTGGTTTATGGGTTTGTTGCTGGCTATGGGCTGAATTGTGTCTCCCCAAAATTCATGTGTTGACATCCTAACCCCCAGTACCTCAGAATGTGATTGTATTTGGACATAGGTTCTTTAAATGGGTAATTAAGTTAAAATGAGGTCATTAGGGTGGACCCTAACCCAATATGACTGGTGTCCTTATAAGAAGAGGCAATTAGGGCACAGACACACCAGAGGGAAGACCATGTGAGAACACATGGAGAAGACAGCCAAGCAGAGAGGCCTCAGAATGAACCAACCCTGCTGACACATTGATCTTGGACTGCTAGCCTACAGAAATGTGACAAAATAAATTTCTGTTGTTTAAGTCACCCAGTGTGTGGTAATTTGTTATATATAGCAGCCCTAGCAAAAAATATGTTGTTGTTTGTATTGTTTTTGTAATTTTATCCTTCCATAAAATCCCAAAATATTAGGAATCTCATCTCAGTTTATTATGGGCCAGTTTTGTCTTGCAAATGGGTGACAAATGCTTCCTTTGTATCTGCTAGCACAGAGTAGACATTTAATCAATATTTGTTGAAACTTCAGGATACAGAAAAAATTCCCAGAAAGATCACTGGGGAAATGCTAGATTAAGAAAATGCTTCAACATACTCCCAGCAGACAAACTGGCAACTGTCTTACTGTCAATACTAAATCCCAATTTTATAAAACAAGATTTGTTTTGACAGAATTTGCTTTACAAGGACCATTTTCCTGTATAGATTTTACTCTGTGAACAGGAATCATTATTTCCTCTTTCTCTTTTTTCTGTACTCCATTTCACCCTTGTCATTATTATTGTCCCACTCTAGGGGATTTTTTTCTCTGCTCCCTCCAAGGGATGAAGTTACCTCACGGATACTTTCTAGGAACCAGCTGTGTCTTCCTCGTTACCTAGTCAAGGAATCTCATTTAAGGCCCATTTGCAATCAAAGTCCTGGTCAAGGCCATGGAAACCCAGGTCCTCTCTATGCCTTTAAAACCCATTTCATTGTTTCAGTGCCTGTTTTTGAAATGCCTATGAGAGCATTGCAAGACTGGTTTTCCCCATTTCTCCATCTCAGACCTGCATGCCTTCCCTGTAAAACCCTACCTTAGGCCTCTCTCTGGGTACCATGACCCTCTCCAACAGAGTACTTCAGCATCCAGAGCTATTGATGGCGATAAAGGGCTGCACAGTCCTGATTTTCTCCAGCAGAATTCCAAATATATGTTGTCCTCCATGCTCGTCATTACTGGTTCATAGGTTTAAAACAGAAACAGCAATTCTTAGCTGACGCATTTAGTTACAGCTTGAGTACCAATCACATCTCACAGTCCTGCCTTGAATTTCCTTCAACTTTGCAAAAACCTTTCTTCACTGGGGGCATCCAGTATCTTGATATGGAAAATTGAATTTTAAACAGGTTAGGTTTCCCACTTTTAGCTAGAACAAGCACAGCAAAAAAAACCCAGAATAGTTGTTCCTTAAAACAAGGTAAAACGCAACTTATTATTATCTTAGTTAGAAAAGTCACCTTTCGTATCAAGTGCAACAACAGGAAACGGTCTAAATGAGATTCTTCTTGAAAATCCTGGTCCCGTGGAGGCAGGTTTCATAACACAAAACATGTGTGTAACCTCAGCCCGAGCACTTTCCACTTGTGAATATCACAGTATGTTCTGTGGGGAGTGTTAATGAATACATCTGTTTGCCTCCCTGCACAGCTGAATATCTGAAAACAGATCTGTTTTCCCATTTCAGAAAAATACGCAGTAAATGCTTGTTGATGGACAGTGTTCAGTTTCGTAAGTTCCTTTACCTTGCCATTTAAACTAACACTAAAAGATACAGGAGTCCCTAAACAGCTGCTAAAATGCAAAGACATATTATTTACTTTGGAGCCTTAATGTGCTCAGGCAGACATTTTTATCCCAACTTCTGTTACTTTTCAGACACTGAACCATTACCACTCCTTTTAATAAACAATGTTGTCCTGGCTTTGGACTTCCCCTGTTATCTGTCCTGACTTCCTGCAGGGAGAGAGACAGTACATCAGCCCATTGCCAGACATTTAGCCTGATGAGGTCCATTTACCACTTTTTAAAGGGCTTGGAAGTCAGCCTAAAAGCTGTGATCGGCTACCTCAATGCATCACGGTAGTTCAGAGTGTGGAAAGATTTATCTGCTATGTCATTGCAAAGAGCAGTCATTTCAGCAGCTTCTAAACTCATTATACATTTGTTTGTTTTTTTGTTTGCTGACTCATGTAAGATTAGATAAATGCATTCACTCAGCCACTCTGATTCCAAGAATTGCATTCTGATGTTTGCCCTGTTCCCCATCCCCATTTTAGCTGCATCCCCCCAAATATGTTTCTTCTTGATTCAGCCACGGTATTAGCTTTGTATCCTCTACTGCTTTATGCCAGACGTTTGAGATACCTTTGCCATAGTGACATCAACTGGAAAAAGTTGGAACTGGAAACTTAAAGCATCATAGAAACCCCCAAATTCATGTTTCTACATTACTTAGAAGTATTACTCAAATAGTCCCTATATAAGTACCACAAAAATAATCCCAGCTAGGGGGCCGGCCCCGTGGCTCAAGCGGTTAAGTGCTCATGCTCCACGGCGGTGGCCAGGGTTCGCCTGTCTGGATCCCCGGTGCACACCGATGCACCACTTGTCAAGCCATGCTGTGGCGGCGTCCCGTATAAAGTGGAGGAAGATGGGCACGGATGTTAGCCCAGGGCCAGTCTTCCTCAGCAAAAAAAAAAAAAAAAAAAAAAAAGAGGAGGATTGGCAGATGTTAGCTCAGGGCCGATCTTCCTCACACACACACACAAAAATAATCCCAGCTGGATTTGAAAAAGGACTTTTCAAATTCCAATATTAATAATAAAAATAACTTTTTATTATGAAAATGACCATGAGAACTAACTAGTGCATATTTTTTGACTCATATTTTGGAAAACATACTGGCAATCATGATATGAGTGATTCTTAAGCTGGCCTTCAGATTCTTAAAAAGTAGATTTCTCACATTTATCATGCAAATTCATAGGCAATTAATGCTTAATACTTTTGGATAGACTTTATTGGAATAGTCATTCATTTATTTTGAAATCATATTTGATATTTTGAAATCAGATTATACGTAAGGCATCAACAATGCAAGAGAACTACGAATATGCATACATTGCTGGTGTTCTGTCTCCTGGGAATTTACAATACAAGTACCTAAAACCTGTTTACAATACAACTGGATAAAACCCACAGAATACAGGCTGTGTTAATTGCCATAAAAGAATGCTACAAGAATTTAAAGGAAGAAAATCAGTTAGCATTTTAGTTGGAATTTGAAGAATGAGTAAGATTTTTTTAATAATGCAAATAAACAATACTTTATTACTTTTTATTCCTATAAGTAGTCTTAAGCTTTGTTCTGAAACTAGGCTTGCTTTTTAAGCTTTGTTAGCTGGGACCAAGGCAGCTTACAGTCACTAGTCTTCTGAGATCTCTACTCGATGCCTCGTGAATTATAAGGTTTTCCACTATGGCTGGAGGAAGCACATCTATTCCTGGCCCTGCACGAGCTCTGAGCACTGTTTCCTGTGCTCCTTGTCAGATAGTTCTTTCCTCAGCCTTGGGTAGTATCCTCATGTACTTGTACAGATCAGCACTCAGCTGAAGACTCTCAGGGAACCCTCTGCACTTCTCCCAGGCTCTGTCTCTGTGCAGCCCTCTTCTCTCTGCAAACTCTAGCTGTCTTGGCTTCCCAATCCTTCTCTTCCTGAGTTCCCTCACCATGTAATGCATGCTGGAATCTCAGTCCAGGCAGTGAGCTGGGGCAATCGTAGGCTTACTTCATTCGTTTCCCCCTCTTAGGATCCCTGTCCTATGCTGCCTGGCGTCCAACATCTGAAAAATGTTGTTTCATATTTCTTTATGATTTTACATTTGTTTACGGAGGGAGGGTAAGTCCAGTCCCTGTGTCTTAGCCTGTTCAGGCTGATGTAACAAAATACCATAGACTGAGTGGTTTATAAACAACAGAAATTTATTCTCCCAGTTCTGGAGTTTGGAAGTCTGCGATCAGGGTGCCAGCATGGCTGAGCGATGGCCCTCTTCTGAGCTGCAGACTTCTTGTACCTCACGTGGTGGAAGGGGCACAGGAGCTCTCTCAGGCCTCTTTTACAAGAGCATTACTCTCATTCAGGAGGGCTCTGCCCTCATGACTTACTCACCTCCCAAAGGCTCCACCTCCTAACACCAACGTATTGGGCATTAGGATTTCAACGTATGAATCTTGGGAGGGACACAAATATTCAGACCATAGCATCCTGTTACTCCATCTTGATCATAAGTGGAAGTGTGACTACAGTCATATATTTTTATTGTAGAAAATTTGAAATATACAATTTTTTTAAAAAACCCCCAAATCATAATTCTATCACATGGAGATAACAAATGTTTATATTTTAGCAAATTACCTTCCACTTCTTTAAAAGTTGCACACAGATATCCTCTAATGTACACACACACAAACACAATGTCAGCTGGGAGACTTTCTACTCCTTAAAATGCGGTTGTGTTTCTCAGTTAATTGCCTCCAAATCCACCTATTCAATGCATTGTATGTGAGGCAGAGACCGTGCAGGTGCAGGTAGGGGATAGAGAGGGATATATACTATAGCCATGCCAACATCTTAAATTCCACATTTGGTATGAATCTTGTCAGGATTCTGTAACTCAGGCTTTACAGACACATTACTCAACTCTCCTCTTCTTCTTCCTTATTTTCTGGTTTTACAACAACAGCAAAATCTTATTTTCTTCTACAGAACAACTCAGGTCTCTTCAAACCCTACCTGTAAACACAGTTCTAGGCTTTTCTTCACATACCCAAAGTGATGAAGATTCCGAAGAGAATAAAAAAGTCTGTTAAGGAACAGCATCCACATTTCTTAAAAGTTAGCTGTGGTGTAAATACCGCATATACATAAATATGTGCAATTTACATGTATAGATATAGATGTACATACGCCTCAAAGAGAGATATTTGAATACTGTGTCATAACTTGTTTTCTCCTTAATAAAACGTTGTTTATATGTGCCGTCATTTAATATGCAATATCATTTTTAATAGGTTGAATTTTTATGCACTTCCATAATAAATTCAAACAATACCCTTTTGTGAGAAATTTGGGTTATTTCTAACTTTTTGCAATTAAAAAAATCACTGTGATTAATATTTGAAATTAAACAACATATTTTGAAATATTTCAAGGGTGCAAAAGAGAAAATTATAGGAAAACTTAGAATATATTTGAACTTGGGCCGGCCCCGTGGCTTAGCGGTTAAGTGCGTGCGCTCCGCTGCCGGCGGCCGGGGTTCGGATCCCGGGTGCGCACCGAGGCACCACTCCTCCAGCCATGCTGAGGCCGCATCCCACATACAGCAACTAGAAGGATGTGCAGCTATGACAGACAACTATGTACTGGGGCTTTGGGGGAAAAATAAATAAATAAAATCTTTAAAAAAAAAAAAAAAAAGAATATATTTGAACTGAATTATGGTCATGCGCCACATAACATTTTAGTCAATGACAGACTGTATATAGAACAGTGGTCCCATAAGATCACTACCATATAGCCTAGGCGTGTAGTAGGCTGTACCATCTAGGTTTGTGTGAGTGCATTCGATGATGTTTGCACAACAACAAAATTGCCTAAGGACTCATTTCTCAGAATGTATCCCTGTTGTTAAGCAACGCATGACTGTATAATTTTATTTATTTATTTATTTTTCCCCCAAAGCCCCAGTAGATATTTGCATGTCACAGTTGCACATCCTTCTAGTTGCCGTTTGTGGGATGCGGCCTCAGCATGGCCGGAGAAGCGGTGCGTCGGTGCGCGCCCGGGATCCGAACCTGGGCCGCCATCATCGGAGTGTGAGCACTCAACCGCTAAGCCACGGGCCGGCCCCCGCGTGACTGTATAATGAGAATACAACATTCTAAAATTTGTGTGATGATGCTGAAGCTATGTTTCAGAGAAACGTACAGCTTTATGTATTTATAGTAAAAAATAATAAATGTGTAAAATCAATGATGTTTCCACCTTAAGAAGCCAGAAAAATATGATTAAACTCAAACAAGAAAGAAGGCAATAAAGAGCATAAATCAGTAAAGTAGAAAACAAATAGTAGAAAAAATTATCCCAGCCAAAAACTGATTCTTTGAAAAGATTAATAAAATTGATAGATTCCTAGCAAGAAAAAAGAAACAAACCCAAATTATCTAAATCAAGAATGAAAGCAAGTTATCACTATAGATTCTATAGACATTCAAACGATAATAGCAACTTTATGCCAACAAATTTGACAACAGATGAAATGCACGAATTTCTTGGGGGAAAAAAAATCAACTTATCCAAACTGACTCAAAATGATATAGAAAATCTTAATTTTCCTGTATTTATTTAAGAAAATTGAATTTAGTATCAAGAAAAGTCTTCTCACAAAGAAAACTCCAGAGCTAGATGGTTTCAGTGGTGAAATCCACCAAATATTTAAGGAAGAAATAATATCAATATTATCCAGAAATTAGAGAAGGAGGAAACACTTCCAACTTATTTTATGGGGTCAGCATAAACCTGATATCAAAGCCTGACAAGAAAAGAATGTTATAGGACAATATCCCTATGAACATAGACAAAAAAAATAAAATCCTTAATGAGACACTAGTAAACCAAATACAGCAATATACCAAAACAGTAATACACCAGGACCAAGCGGGGTTAATATTAGGAAAGCAAGGTTGGTTTAACATTCAAAATTAATCAGTGTAAATCACCACATAAAAAGAGACTCTTCCAGAAATCCATATAAGTACTTTTGACTTGGACAACGGGGTTAGTAACAGTGAAAATGGAGGACAGGGGATGGATTTGTGATAGAGATTAGCGATAGAATATTTACTGATAGCTTAGATGTAAGGATGAGGAAAATAGGGGAATCAAGGAAAATTATAAGGTTTTTTTTTGAGCAGTTGGGTGGATAGGGGTGCTATTTACTGAGAAGGGAAAACTGGAACGAGTAGAAATGAGCTGGAAAATTAACAGTACCATTTTATACATATTTAGGTTAACATATCCTATTATGCATCCTTGTAAGCAGTTGGAGATATTATTCTTGGATTCTGGGAAAGGTCAAGGCTAGGTATTAAGATTTGCAATGGCATAGATGGTTTGTAAAGTTAAAGTCACTTAATGTTAACGTCACTTAATGTGAAGTCAGAGGAAGGAAGGAAGACAGTACTGAGCCCACAAAACAGGGACCATTGAGGTAGAAAGATCAGGTGTGTGTAATTTCAAAGACACTGTGTTGGAGAAGAAGGGGAGGGTCAATTCCAGACAATAAAGAAAGATAAGATTTTTGACAGGCAGAGAAGTGGGAGGAAAAGGAAGAATAAAGAGAAAAAGTGTTTCAATCAGAAGGGACAGAATGAAGAAATACAGTCCCTATTCACGTCCACCCCAAATGAGACAGTAAATTGATCTTCTACCTATCAACTTTCGGGGAACAGAGAAAATATGGAAAGATTTACACCAGAAAACCAGTATCCTGTGTCTGGAGTAAAGATTTCCAAGGCACAGCATTAACTCCTTCAGATTTCTAGGACACTGTTTAGTAAGCTGAGATCATCACTGACTTTCAGAAGTACATTCAGCTTCTACAATGTATCTAATTTATTCTCAACAGGCCCCACAGGGTGATACAAGTTCAACTATTCGTCAACTGAGAGAGAACACTCAGGATCATTCTGTTTCAAAGATTGTTGATGACTTGAAAATCAAATAGCCACAGGAAATTCTGGTATCTTCACTGAGAAAGTGAAAATGTAGAAAACAATCTTACTTTGATTTATCTCTGCAAAGATATGTGGAATTATATATTTCTCAACGGGGATGAGATGAGCTAATTGTTACACAGGAAATAACTATAAGGGAGAATTTTTTTCCAGCAGTAGGAAAGTCTATCAAATCAATATGGAATATTTCAGTCCTAAATCCACCCAGGTGAATGATTTCAGCTCTGAAAGCTTTCTGACTCCCTGTTTGCTGAATTCTTCTGAAGCTACTGCTCCCAAATAGTTCACTGCTTTGCTTCATTACTGAGAATCTGACAAGAACTTGTCATAAGAATTCTGCTTGGCAGCTGCTTTTTTCAGCTTATGGAACAAGAAAGGTTAGTATGAATTTTCAGTCCCTGTAATATCTTAGCTGGAGGGTAATCCTGCCATTTCTAACTCTGCACCAAAATCTTGATGAAAGAAATAAGACACCACAGATGGTCTGATCCCCTTCGCTTTTTCAAACTTATACCACAGATCTCAGTCAATATGTTTTCATAATGAGATGTCAGATCAATCAATGCAACAATCTAAAATTTCTATTTAGGAGAGAGTACTTGAATGCAAAATAGTTTCTACAAAGTTACTTCTGAGATTGATTTTAAAAGGCATATAAAAATCAAAAATAATATGGAAAAGAATAAGTATTAAGGTGGTGAAAGGCTTTTTTCCCTTGTGACTTCTGTTACCCAATATGAATCCCTCCACTGAGCGTGTTCTACACTACCACAGCATGCCTCTAAAAAAAAAAATTCCACACAAATTTTATTGTTTCATGTCAGAAAGATAAAATATTTTAATACAAATGTATTTTTAAAATTGACAAATGGACATGATTTCCCTCTCAAGTGGATAAACATACGTGATCAATAGGATTATTTCTGATATTTTCAATCAATTTCTTTTTTATCTATTTCCTTATGCTATGCTGATGCTGCCAATAATGTGTTCCAGCAGATCCAAGTTTCAATGGAATTATATCCTAAATAACCACACGAAAGAAGCAGTTCTCTAGTCCAATAATTTTTCTTTATCTAGAAAATAAGTGATGTAAGATGCCATTCACCATGTATTTTGAGGACCAATGCTGCAAATAAAGCATTTCTTATACATTGAGGTCCATTTCATTCTTGTTCTTCCTTCATTTATGCCTAAACTTATACCCCAATTTTCCATTTATTGAAAGATGATCCTCCTTCATATTTATTGCCTATAACCTTCAATCCCCTTGCTCTCCACCAGCACCCTCCTCCCCAACATACAAACACCAGAAGAATAAGACCCCAAACCATTTACATCAAATGGTCCTAGATTAGGAGTCAAGAGATGGACTCTACAGATTGGTGGTTACCAGAAGGGAAGGGGGTGGGGGGAGGGCAAAAGGGGTAAAGGGGCACATTTGTATGGTGATGGATGGAAACTAGACTTTTGGTGGTGAACATGATGTAGTCTATACAGAAGTTGAAATATAGGGCCGGCCTGGTGGCTTAGTGGTTAAGTGCGCGCGCTCCGCTGCTGGCGGCCCGGGTTCGGATCCCGGGCGCGCACCGACGCACCGCTTCTCCGGCCATGCTGAGGCCGCGTCCCACATACAGCAACTAGAAGGATGTGCAGCTATGACATACAACTATGTACTGGGGCTTTGGGGGAAAAATAAATAAATAAAATCTTTAAAAAAATAAAAAAAGAAGTTGAAATATAATGATATACATCTGAAATTTATACCATGTTATAAACCAACGTGACCTCAATTGAAAAAAAGAGAGAGATGGGTTCTAGCCCTAGCTCTGTCCCTTGCCTTCACTGTAACCCTCATTAAATCACTTAACCTCTTTCAACGTCATTTCTCCCTTTTAGAGAAATGGAAATCAAAATAATGAAATAGAATTTGTGACCTATTATGTTGTAAGAATTTAAGTGTTTGATAATATGTAGTGTTGGAGAGCATGTTTAGAACCAGACATCCTCGTCCCTTGTTTGTGGGAGTACAAATAAATTCAACACTTAGGTGGGCAATTTGGCAACACGTGGGTAGGGGAGGGAGGAGGGAGGGGGCTGGAGTGGAACATTCGTGTAAGAGGAGTGTATTTGTTTTGTATTGCTGTGTAACAAATCACCACAAATGCAGGGGCTCAAAACAACACACATTTATTAGCTCCCATCATTACCTGGGTCCTCCACTACGGGTCTCATGAGGCTGAAAATAAGGTGTTGACCAGCTGTGTCTTCATCTGGAGGCTCAATTAGGGAAAAATCTGCTTCCAATCTCTCTCAGGTTGTTGGCCGAACTCATATCCCTCTGATTGTAGGACTGAGGTTGCCTCGTCTTGCTAGTGGTCAGCTGGGGACACCTCCTATCTCCCAGAGGCCAGTCCTTGCCATGTGGCCTTCTCTATAGCCTCTGCCACACTTCCAATCTCTCTGACTTCAGTAAAGGCCCTGTGCCTTTTAAGGGCTCACCTGATTATATCAGGCTCACCTGGATAATCTTCCATTTCTTTAGCTCAAAATCAGCTGATGAGTAACCTCAGGAGTGCTATCCTGTCATACTCACAGATGTGACCGGCCCTCAAAGCGAGGGGATTGTACAAGGCATGGACACCAGGGATGGGAATCTTGGGGCCATCTTAGAATTCTACCTACCACAGGGAGGCAGGAAGACAAGTCCTTGAAGTTGACAGAAGAAAGGGAGATTGGGAAAGCCAGCCAGGATGGAGAAGTGTTTCACCAAGGAGAATGATACCTGTGGATCTTTCCTCACAATTCCTTCCCACCACCCTCCACTTTCTTCCTCCCCTTCCCCCCAAATAAATATCATCAGAACCCGTGCTCTACCCAAATAACCCTTGCCTCTTCTCTTCATGGCAGAATATCTACCTCCCTTTGTTACTGGTCTCTACCAGTTGGGTTAACAATCAAAATATGTTTTGATATAGATCATGAGGACATTAAATCTATTGCTGACTGCTTCCCTCAGTGGCCATCCTGCAGAACCCCACCTCCCCCCAGCCCAGGACATCAGAGCCACCACCAGGAGCTTGAACTACCTGGCAGTCTCTTCTCCCAATATCCACCTACCTGGGAATCAGAGAGGAGAGAAATGTCTTGCCTAGAATATTGACCAAAATTAAACAGGTTTTACTCAATATTTAAGGGGAGAAGTTGATAAAAATTTAGAAACTGCTAAGGAAAAAGAAAGGCATAATTAATAAAATATAATACTCTAAGATATAGCCTAATAATTTCAAAAACTTTGTGAGAGTAAAGTGCTAAATTTTGTAGAACTTGGCATTTTGTTTATGAAGTCAAATTCAAACTAGATGTATTCCTGATATGATAGGATTAACACTACTGTTCATAATAAATCAAAAGGAATATAATCGCAGATAAAATCTCCTTCTTGACACAAATTGGCAAGGGATATGTCACAAATAAGTACAAGACAATATTCGAAGAAACAACTCTGCCAGTCTGCCATGTTTCTAAGGGACTTCTTGGGCCAGAGTGTTAGTAGATTTTTCTTGCTCTTTTCTCAGCTGTTTGCTAATCATCTTCAGAGCTGAAGTTTTAAAATGCACTGGTAGGGGCCGGCCCGGTGGCACAGCGGTTAAGTGTGTGAGCTCTGCTTCGGAGGCCAGAGGGTTCGCAGGTTCGGATCCCAGGTGCACACTGACACACTGCTTGTCAAGCCATGCTGTGGCAGCGTCCCATATAAAATAGAGGAAGATGGGCACAGATGTTAGGCCAGGGCCAGTCTTCCTCAGCAAAAAGAGGAGGATGGGCACGGATGTTAGCTCAGGGCTGATCTTCCTCACACACACACAAAAAAAAGATCTGTTAGTAAAATGCACTGGTAAACAAGAGAGAATCAAGTCCTGAACTCATGAACCCACGCCATGCTGTGGGTTCGTTCGTAATTTGAATTTGCTAGGCAAAATAGTACTGACGATGTGAGGCCGTGGGCAACTATTAGGGCTATGGCTCCTATATAACTTCATGGTGTTTGGATAAGGACAGCTACGATTACTAAAGCTATGTGGCTGACGGAGGAGTATGCGATGAGTGATTTCAGGTCTGTCTGGCGTAGACAGATTGAACTAGTTATAATTATTCCTCATAGGGATAGTATAAGAAATGGGTAGGCTATATAACTTGTTAAGGGGTTAAGAATTGTTGTGATTCGTAGTATTCCGTAACCCCCTAGTTTTAGTAGAATGGCTGCTAGTACTATAGAGCCGGCGATGGGGGCTTCAACGTGTGCTTTAGGTAATCAGAGGTGGAGGCCATAAAGAGGCATTTTTACTATAAATGCTATTATGCATGCTGGTCATAGGAAGGCGTTGGATCAAGAATTGGATAGTGTTTGGGCTGAGTATTGAATTAGTAAGAGATTTAGTGAGCCTGTGAGGTTTTGGATATGGATTAATGCAATTAGGAGTGGCAGTGATCCTGTCAGTGTGTAGAATAAAAAGTAAAGGCCCGCGTTTAGTCCATCTGTTTGGTTGCCTCATCGGGTGATAATAATTAGTGTTGGAATTAGCGTTGCTTCGAATAAAATGTAGAAGGAGATTAATTCTACGGTGGTAAAGGTTATGATTAGGAATGCTTGGAGTATAATTAGTATTGTAATATAGAGCTTTTTTTGGGCTAGAGGTTCTTTGGATAGATGATGGCTGGCTATAATTATGAGTGGAAGCAGGCATGTGGTTAGTACTAGTAAAGGTGCTGATAAGGGGTCGGAAGAGAATGTCAGGGAGATATTAAGGCTGTTTTCATTGAATTGGTTCAGGAATGATAGGCTGATAAGGCTAATTAATAGGCTGTAAATTGTGGCGTTAATTCAGATTATGTTGTTTTTTGATAGTCATGTTAGTGGGATTAATATTAGGGTAGGGAAAATGATTTTTAACATTGAAGGAGATTAAGGTTTTGTACATAGTCTATACCGTAAGTGTTGGAGATCATAACTAGTAGGGATAATCCTAGTGCAGCTTCACAGGCTGCGAATACCAGAAGAATGATGGGCATTATGCTAGCTAGTGTGAAATGGGAGTTTAGAACTATTATAGTTGCTATGATAAATAGTGATAATATTATACCCTCCAGGCATAAGAGTGAGGATATTAGATGGGATCGATACATTAGTAGTCCTATGAGAGATACTGTGAATGCTAGAAAGATATTAATGTGGATTAGGGACATTTGATAATTATGAAATAAATCATAATCTAATGAGTCAAAATCATTTATTTTGGTTTAAACTAATTATCATATTCGGTTCATTCCAGTCCTTTTTGAGTTCATTCATAGGCTAGGCTGGCAGCTAGTAATGAGATTAGGATTAGTGCCGTGGTGAGTATGGTTTTTAGGTTAGTTGTTTGAGATGCCCATGGTAGGGGTAGGAGGAGTGCAATTTCCAGGTCGAAGAGCAGAAATGTGATGGCTACCAAGAAAAATTTTATGGAGAAAGGTAGGCGTGCTGATCCTATTGGGTCAAATCCACATGCGTAGGGACTGGAATTTTCTGTGTAAATATTTAATTGGGGTAGTCAGAATGCAATAAGTACTAGTACTGAGGCTAGTAACATGTTGATAAATAATGTTAATATGAGGTTAATTATTCTTTTTCGGGTTTGACCGAAGCTGATTGATTGGAAGTCAATTGTACTGCTTGATACTAAAATAATAGGAACCTCATCAATAGATGGATACGTATAGGAATAGTCACACTACGTCTACGAAGTGTCAGTATCAAAGAGCTGCTTCCAATCCAAAATGGTGGCTGGATGTGAAGTGGAATTTTAGTTGGCGTAGGAAGCAGACAATAAGGAAAGTGGAGCCAATGATTACATGTAATCCGTGGAAGCCTGTAGCGATGAACAATGTCGATCCATAGATGCCATCTGAAATTGTGAATGGTGCTTCATAGTATTCTGAGGCTTGAAGTAGTGTGAAGTCGATGCCTAGTGAGATTGTGATGAATAAGGCTTGAAGTGTGTGTTTGCGATTGCCTTCCATCAGGCTATGATGGGCTCAGGTAATGGAGACTCCGGATGCTAGGAGAACTGAAGTGTTAAGGAAGGGGCACTTCTATGGGGTTTAAAGGGTGGATGCCTGTGGGTGGTCAACAACCTCCGAGTTCAGGTGTTGGGGCCAAGCTTGAGTGGTAGAAGGCTCAGAAAAAGCCGGAGAAGAAGAATACCTCTGAGACGATAAACAAGATTATGCCGTATCGGAGTCCTTTTTGTACGGCGGGTGTGTGGTGACCTTGGAATGTGCTTTCTCGAATAATGTCTCATCATCATTGATATATAGTTAGTAAGTTGGTTGTTAGCCCCAGGGTTAGTAGAAATGCTGAGTTGTAATGGAATCATGTTACCAGCCCTGATGTTATGAGGAGGGCTGATAGGGCTCCTGTTAGAGGTCAAGGACTGGGGTTGACTATATGATATGCAAAGAGAGAGAGAGAGAGAGAGAGAGCAAAGTAACCAAATCATTATAATGCACAAACCTGAACCCCAGGCTAAGGTTTGATAAGCAGTGCTTCCTGGAGGAAGGGGCATAGAAACTGAAACCTGCTTAAATATAGAAGCCAACTCTAGCAGGAGGTCCTTGTACACCATGCTAAGGAGATTGGACTTTTTTTCCAAGGGCAATAGGAAGCCGTGAAAGAATTTTAGAAATTGGTGTGAATGGGATCCAATTTCCAGGTTAGTAAAATGTGTTACCTTGTGGTAATTCCTGTCTATTGTTTCTCGTGAAATAGTTGCAAGTGTGTAGATATACTTATTATAGTTGCAGTTTCCACGTACTAAATGTTTTTCAGGTCACTTCTCTGTAATTGAGGTTTAAGTATAAACCTCTTTTCTTCTCTTATTTAAGAACTATGAATGCACCTTTTTTTGAGCAAAGTATATAAAATACTGTGCAACTTTTTTGAGGAAACAGTGTCTAAAATACTGCAATTACATTTATAACATTTTATTTATTCTCATGTTTCCAGAAACCCATTTGTTGCATAGAGTATCTCCCATTTGATGAAGAGAAATTAGTATTCTTCACATAGTGACCCAGTTTTTAAAACGTGATGTTAGGGGGCTGGCCCTGTGGCATAGTGGTTAAGTTCACGCACTCTGCTCTGGTGGCCTGCGGTGTGCGGGTTCAGATCCCAGGCACGGGCCTACACATTGCTCATCAAACCATGCTGTGGTGGTGGCCCACATACAAAATAGAGGAAGATTGGCACAGATGTTAGCTCAGGGGCAATCTTCTTCAAGCGAAAAGAGGAGGCTTGGCAACAGATGTTAGCTCAGGGCTAATCTTCCTTACCAAAAAAAAAAAAGTGATGTGGTTTTGTAGATGACATTACTACACTTGTGATATTTGTTTTGAGAAAAAAGCTTCTTATGATAGTGTTTTTTAAAAGTTCTTTATATTATGGAAAGTTTCACATATATACAATAGAGAGAATAGTATAGATAATGAGCCTGCATGTATCCATTACTTAGCTTCCATAGGTTTCAACACATGGCGTTTTTTTTCAGCTATAGTCTACCCACTGAAATATGTTGAAGCAAATACTAAACATCACATTGTTTCATCTCTAACTACTTCAGTATACATTTCTAAAAGATAAAGATCCCTTCTTTTCACTTTCCTTCCTTCCTTCCTTCCTCCCTCCCTCCTTCCCTCTCTCCCTTCCTTCCTTCCTTTCCTCCCTATAACCACAAGACTATTCGCACACCTAAAAAAATTAACAGCAATTCTTTAATATTTTAAAATATCCAGTGTTCAAATTTCCGATTGCCTCAGTGTCTTTTATAGTTTATTTGTCGAAATCAGGATCCAAACAACACCACACATCTCATTTGGTTGATTAAAAAAGACTCTTAAGGGCCGGCCCTGTGGCTTAGCGGTTAAGTGGGCGCACTCTGCTGCTGGCGGCCCAGGTTCGGATCCCGGGCGCTCACCGACGCACCGCTTCTCCAGCCATGTTGAGGCCGCGTCCCACATACAGCAACTAGAAGGATGTGCAGCTGTGACGTACAACTATCTACTGGGGCTTGGGGGGGGGGGAGGAAAGACTTAATATATGTCAATTATACCTCAATTTTAAAAAAGACTCTTAAATGTCTAGTAATCTATATATTCTCCTTCCTCCTTTTTTTCTTGAAATTGATTTTTTTATTCTAATTATTTTTTCTCGTACTTGTGTTTGTCTTCATTTGTATTTTGCTGTTTGCATCCATGTAACAGCAGTTTTTCTGTCTCTGATGTTTCGATTGCCTAGATCCAGGATCTTACTAAGGGTTGGTTGGGTGATAGTATTTTATAAAACTTCATTGACATATACAATTAGAAATGCACGGGCTTAAAGAAAAAATTCGTGTAAGCTTCTCACTTTGGATATGACAAATAAAAGCCAGGAGAAATGAGAACGGTACCCAGTGTTTGCAATTCTTCTTTGTTCCGAGCGTTAAACATATCCCCCTTTCATTGACTCTAGGTGTTACAGCAATCTTCTATGGAGACAGAGCTACTCAATGAAAAGCACCAGCACTGGCCTCAAGTCTAGCTTGGCCTTATACAAGTGACCTTGATTGACTTGTCTGACCACCATATGCCTTAGTTTCTTCATCTGTAAAATGGATAAAACTCATATCTACTTCAGAGTTGAGAGAAATAAATGAGAATGCAGATAAAGTGCTTGACACAATGTAAATGATCAGAATTAGCATTATTCATTTAGTCACTCGTTCAGCCATTCAACAATATTTCATCATTTTTATAATACTTTATCATTTTACAATATTTTATCATTAAATGACATGAGCACCAAGAGAACTGGATTCTTTGGAGGGTAGTTTTTCATTTCCAGACCCTTTCCTTATGTAGTGTTATGTATTTGTAAGATGCTTTCACATACATGGTTTCATTTAGTCCTCTCAATAGACCTGCACTGTAGCCAAGTGTATCAACTATCTTGGCTTAGGAAGGAGAAAATAGAGGAGAAGAGAGGCTAAATGACTTGCCCTGTTTCATATCTAGTTAGTGGTAAAGCTGGGACTATAATCTATTTCTTCTGGCTCTTTCCTTGACACAGTGCTTTACATTTCCTCCACAATTAGGTATTCAGTATTTGTTTAAACAACTAATCAATACATTTCAGGCCAACAGAGCAGATTTTAGCACTTAAAGAATTTTCTTTAAAATAAAATATCCTCTCCATTTTATAATCTGAGAGCTGAAGATAAGAATCCTACGATGGGGTTCTTAATACACAGCTTCTTTTTTTTGTGTGTGAGGAAGATCAGCCCTGAGCTAACATGCGTGCTAATGCTCCTCTTTTTGCTGAGGAAGACTGGCTGTGAGCTAACATCTATTGCCAATCTTCCTCCTTTTTTTTTCCCCCAAAGCCCCAGTAGATAGTTGTATGTCATAGTTGCACATTCTTCTAGTTGCTGTATGTGGGACGAGGCCTCAGCATGGCTAGAGAAGCAGTGTGTCGGTGCATGCCCGGGGGTCTGAACCCTGGCCGCCAGTAGTGGAGCGCTTGCACTTAACCGCTAAGCCATGGGCCGGCCTAATACACGGCTTTTTTATTTAACCACTAAGTCAAGCGAACATTCTGGTTCAACTTCACAATGACATTAAGTTGATCAATGTACTAAAGAAATGCGTATCATACCCTTTCATTCATAAAGTCAAACCAACATTAGAGATGGGAGATTTTACTTTTCCTTTTAGTATGGAAAGTATTAGAACAAATTTTTTGCATAAATAGAGTTCTAAGCAAGTGAATTAAAGAGTTGCTCATACATCTGATCAATAATTTATCTTTGTGTTGTTCTATTTCATTCATATCTAGTTACTGTTATGTCACCTATAGAAATAGCATAGGTATTAATTGGATGTTATTTGTGTCATAAAGACCCCCAAAACGATTACCTTGTTAGCAGATATGAAAAAGTGCTTTTCCCAGATTACAGAGAAATTTTCATACACCATTGACATTGTCATAATCATTCAGTTAAAATTGATGCTTATCATTTAATGACAAAATATTCTACAGCAGTGTGATCTGCAGATGGGTGTCAGTCTCTGAACTGTTTATCAGTCCACAAGGAGATAAGGACAGACATCAAAGCAATTATAGCAGTTTGACAGAGTAATCTTATGTCTGTGGAACCTAATAATTTTTATAAAATGGCTATGTATTTTTATCTTTTTAATTTTTCTAGTAATTCAATTTTTAACTTTATTGAGGTGTAATCTATATAGCCTCATGCCGCCATTTTAAGTGTACATTTAAGTGAGTTTTGGCAAATCTGACCACCCATGTAATCATCAACAAAATATAGGATATGCTCATCGCCCCCCAAAATTTCATTGTGCCCAATCCAGAAAGTCATTTCCCATCCCCAGCCCTGGGTGACCACTGATCTGCCTTCTGTCCTTACAGATTAGATGTGCTTGCTCTAGAGCTGTTGGTGTCGCAATTGCTTACTCCTTTTCCATTGCATGGATATCCCACAATTTGTTTATTCAGTCACCTGTTGATGGACATTTGGATTGTTTACAGTTTGGGACCATTATGAATAAGATGTTATAAACATTTCAGTGTTTTATTTCTCTTAGGTAAATGCGTAGGATTGGAATTACTGGGTTGTAACAAAAATGTGTTTAACTTTTCCAAAGTAGTGTGCTATTTTACATTTTCACCAGCAATGTGCATGATTACCATCTAGTCCATGTCATCACCAACACCTGGTGTGAGACTTTCAATTTTTAGCAGTTATAATGGGTATTTAGTAGTACTGAATTGTGATTTTGTATTTCCCAATGACTAGTAGTGCGGAACATCTTTGCCTATGCTTATTGGCTATTCGTGTATCTTTTGTGAAGTGTCTGTTCAAATCCTTGGCCACATGTTATTGGATTGTCTTATTAAGAGTTCTATATATATTTTTGAAATAAGAACTTTGTAAGATATGTGTATTACAAGTATTTTTTCCCAATCTGTGTTTGCCTTTTTATTTTAACTGTTTATTTCAAAGAACAGTGGTTTTAAAAAAATGTTGATGAAGTCTTTTACTGATTTTATGATTTTGCTTTTTTGTCTTATCTAAGAAATCTGTCTACCTCAAGGTCACGCCAATTTTCTTCTGTTGTGTAAGTTTTAGAGTTTTACCTTTTGTGTTTAGATCAATGATCCGTTTTTTACCCATCCAATTTCTATGAATGATATGAGGTAAGGACTGAGTTTCATTTTTCTTCATAAAGATATCCAGTTGTTAGAAACATTTGTTGAAAAGACTATCCTTTCCATATTGAATTACCTTGATACCTTTGTCAAAAATCAATTAGCCATCTATGTGTGAGCCTATTTCTGGACTCTACTCTGTTCGTTTGTCCGTGTCTATCCTTACCTCAATGCCACATCTTGATTAC